TCTTCTTTTTCCTCTGGACCCTTCAGTCACTATGAAGAAAAAACACCTTCTTTTATTTGTCTGCTTTCTCTGTTGCTACTGCAGAGCTTCCAAAACACACCCATCTCCTCCCACCTCTTCCCCCCACCTGTTTCAAGGTTGCAGCTTTTATAAGCAATTCTGCCACGGTGATGCTGGGGAGAAGGTTCAAAGAGGAGGGGAGGCAAGCCAGCCAGCCAGCCAGCCAGCCAGCCAGGTGCCTGCAATTGTTCCTCAACAGCCTGCTCTTCCACAATGAAGACGACACAACTTCCATTATAGCGACACAATCTATGTGTAGATTAGCTACACGTGTGCAGGCATATAGTTTTTAAACTAAGAAAAACTGTAAATAAGACTATAACTTAGACCCCAAACATATAAGATTCTCATTCACACTGTTTGGTGGGCAGTGTGAAAGGGAATTCCAAGATTATTAGTGAAGTTGATGACATTAGCAATTGTCTCACTCTTAGATGATTTCCATGGGCGAAAGACAGAGAATGCAGCTACTGCTTGATCTCAGTGTCCATGATATCTTCCTGGATATCTTTGTGAGCTGGGCTGAAGGCACTGTGTTTTATACACAAGGATTGCATGAAAAGTAATGCCTCCACCTATGTAACTTTAGTTTATATAGGGATGTTTTAACAATAAAATAGAAAACATCAGTAATGTGATCCACATATTCCTATGAAATGCCAAGGTTCAGAGTTTCTCTTTGAGTGATCTCCTGATTGTCCTTAATCAGTTAATCAAATTTTCTGATGTGAAACTATATGTTGCCCACTTTGTTCTTGATCACACAAATCAGCTGTTCCTGGTTCGCCATTTTTACATTTTTGGGCTTAGTAACACACAATACTCATGTCAGCATAGTCATCACAATAACCTACATTTGGTGGTGAATTTCAAGTGGAGGGACTCTTTCATCAATCAAAAATTCAATCATGGCATATTGCTGAAAGTACCCAGATGAGTAGTCACTGCAGGCTTTCATTTCACCAACAATAGCAACACCACCTTAGGAAACTTCCCACCAACTGAAGTGAAAAAATAGATGCTAAGGAACATTTTAGAGCTTGTAATGCCTCAGTACTGCCATCTGTTGGCAACTTAAAACACTGGTGGCATTACTTTTAATTCAACCCGTGTGTGTGTGTATGTCTGTGTATGTCTGTGTTTGCGTGCACGTGCATAATTTTTAAGAAAAAAAGGAATAACTATACACACACACACACACACACAAAGGGAGAAAAGAGGCAAAAAAGGAAAAATTAAGCAAAAGCAGATAAACAGAGGAGTTTACAAGCATCATAGAATCAGGTTAAATTTTTCAATACTTTACTAGTTTTAAATAATTGAATAATTATATATTTAAAACTACAAATCACTCTTAAAATCCAAGTAATACATGTATATGAATATCAAAAGTCATAGATATCATAAAATGAGATTAAGAATTAAATATTTTATGACAAGAGAAACCCAAATTTTGGATGTGGTACAAGCCCACATATAAAATTTGCCATGTGAAGTATTGTCTAAGACAGATGCTCTGAGTTAAACTGCTGGTCTTGTTTACTTTTGGTTTACTTTCATTTGGAAGCCCACTGCCAATGATTTGTCCTCCTGTGGCTTTTCTGCCCCATTCCCAATACCATTTGGAATAGACAAAGCTATGCAAGTAGTTAATCACAGTGTCCTGGATCTGGACAAACAGAACAATAAATCTAAAATTCCATCTTACTGTCTCAAGGACCTCTTTCATAGTTCTTTCACATTCCCCAATTACCTCTATGGAATTACTTCTGATACACCCAGAATAGCATTCATATGGACAAGGTTTAATGCCTTACCCTTAATGCTGATGGAGGAGAAATACAACATCCTTTATGTAGAATGTTTCTATGGTTGTTTCTGTAGTCAAATCAGGAGGGGATGTTTTACTTCACTGACCTTTATGCCACATCTCATAACCAAACTCTTATTCACTGTGTAGATTGGTTTGAAGGTAAAATTATTTGTTTTGACTTTCCTGAAATTTCCAGAAATGTAGTGAAGTTTTGTTCAGCTGCAGTTGCTGTTAGAAGTCTCTGGGTTTGATTCTTATGCTGGTTAAGGGCAATGAACTTCCACATGGTATATTTAATTTATCTCTATTGATTATTCTATTTTGTTCTGTTTTGATTGAAAGCTGTTAGCATATGATCACTAATCTCCTGTCACCTGCTTCTTCTTGTGGTCTGATTTTTTGGGATAAATTTTAAAAGTGGCCAAACTCCTGACTGGCTTATCTGGCCAACTACATTGCTCTACCATTGTTACAGCAACTGCTTTGGCTGACAATTAGGGGACAAGTGAGCTTTTGACATAGAAGATTCTAAAGCAGGTGGCACCAGGATATCTGGTGGAACTTCACTGTTATAGACCTGATTGATTGTTGACATTGTTGGGGAAATCTACTCCATGTGCAAAGAACTAGAGTATCATCCTGTTGGACATTAATGGTGGGCTTCTTTCTCTACACTGGAATGGTCTCTTTCCTGAAATTTGAATGTGCTTATTGTTACACCTTGTAGGTGCCTGTTTAAATGATCTCTCTTTACCCAATCCTTCTGAGTATGAATGGTGGATGATTCCTCCTCTCCTGCTCCCCCTGGTTTTATTTATCCTTCTTTGTTTTTACTGTATCTAGCTTTTAAAATTATTTTTAGTGTGTATTTTACATTCTTTAAATTGCTTTGAGAAACAATATAAATACATATAACAGCAACAAGCTAATAACAATGTGGGAAAATGAACATGCATGACATTTCCACCATTCTGTCTGCAATCCACTTATGACTTGGTTTCTGTGCTTAAATTGATTGGTACAAATTTAAAACAAGCTGATTATCACTTTGATAATATTACAAGCAGTCCATGTTCCTAATCAGCTAATCAAGTTTTTAAGCATAGCTTTATGTGGGAAAATAACATTTAAACTTAACAGTATGTTAGAGTGTTCCCAATCGGACAAAGAAGTATGTTAAAGCAGTTTGGGAAAGGGACTTATACAGAATAAAACACCATATATATTTGAATGATGGGGGCCAAAAAATCCCTTATTTTAAAGGCCCTACTTCTTAGAGCTGTTCAGTGCTTCAGATGTGAGAGGAAAGACCTGCTTCAGAACATGTGGGAGCATGAACACAGCTGCTGTGACTCATTAATGCAGCCACATCTTTTTCAGACTTACCAGGCTGCTGTGCAGAGATTTCTGCTGCAGCCACACAATAATGGGAACAGATGCAGCTTTTCTAATGAATCTGCAACAGTGCTGTGTTTACTCTCCCACGTTCTGCAACACTTCTTCCCTATTAAATCTGAAGCACTGCACAACCCTACGACTGTCATTAAAATTAGCAAGAAGTGAGGGCAAAAGACATCTAGTGAATTTGAATGTGGGGCAATTCAAGGCACACAAAAGGAAATATGTTTTCATACAGCGCATAATTAAGTTATGGTATTTCCAAACACAAGATGGAGAATTGCCAGCTTGGAAGAAATTAGATACATTTATCAAGGGCAAGTCAATATGTGACTACTTAGGCATACTCTGGCTATAGTGTCTCCCCTAGCAGTCAGTATATCTCTTGATATAATGATATATTTGACATAGCAGTTGCTGGAAAATATAATTAGGAGGATTCTTCTGCATCAATTGCTCATAGGTATCTGGTTACCCACTGTGGGTTCAGAACACTTGACATTGGTCTGATTGAGCACAGTTCTTAGATTCTTTAAACAGAAATGATATATTTCCAGCTGGAGTGCTTCTCTGTATAATTCTTGCTGAGCAATTTGATAAGCTTTCTACATAGTCCTGATATTTTATTGACTTTATATAGAAAAAGATTCTATAGTGAGTCCACCAAGGAATTCTTGCCTTTAAAATGACAGGCTCTGTACTGCCAATGTCACACCTTCAAGCAAGCTTCCCATCTGTTTATTTTCAAAGTGAGTCATTTGTGTTCATTTGTATAAACATACATTCACTGCCTGTTTAGACTGCTGCAAAGGTGCTGGGGGAGAGTTGAAAGCTATGATATCACATGCACAAGCCTATTAGCAGCACCAATAATTGTAGCTGTCAACAAGCAGAGCTGGGATGCTCAGAGGTCAACTAAGAAGGGACAAAAATACCATTGGGATTTTTCCCAATGCTTCCACACTGACCATACTCTTCCAAATATATAACATTGATCATTAATTTGTTTTTATAGTTTTCTGGTGCTTTGTAACATGAGGCTATGAGAAAGGACACCCTTTCACATATGGAATGTTACATCAGTGGTCAACCAGTTGAATTTGTGTTGGAAAATACCATGCCCCAAAGGTCACAGCTGAGTAATAACAACATGTTTTGCATCTAACCGGTCTCAGTTCACATCTTTTCATTTCAAGTGAAAGGATTTACTAGGAAAAAAAAAAAAGCTTATGTGGATATGCTGAATAAATAAAATTGGCTATGTAAGTGGGTCACTAGTTGTGTTATGTTGGCTAAGATTAAAAAGAAATAGAAGCAACAACATTCTTATTAGGCTAGCTGAAGATTCCCAAAACTGTTGCAAGCTTTCAAGAACTATTTATCTGGCAAGATAATTACCATCTGGGAGAGAGGGGAGTAGAAAGGGATAGAGGAAGAATATACCTGGTGTATAAGTCATGAAGAAACAAAGACTTCTTGGAAACTGAAAAGCTTGCAAGGCAAGGCAGCTTTTTGTTGGTCTGAAGGCAAAACTAATCCAGACCAAATTTTTAAAAAAGCATGCATTGTATAGCATAAAACACGTCTCCAAGTCTCTCTTTCCACACCTTTGCTATGTAATTACATATGAGATTTCCGTGACCAAATCACAATACTGTTGGATGTTCCTCCTAGGTCAGTGTTGTCCAAACCTGGCCACTTTAAGATGAGTGGACTTCAACTCCCAGAATTCCCCAGCCAGCTCATCTTAAAGTGGCCAAGTTTGGACAACACTGTCCTAGGTTATGTGACCAAGGACACAGCACTAATGCTAGCAATAGTTTCTGAGCAGTGTTTCTAAGAACAGGTGTCAAACTGCATGGTAAACAGCCCTGCTGCCTCCCCAAAATAAGCCAGAACATTCATTGTTGAAAACAATTTAGCTGATTTTCTACCCAAAGAATAATCTGGGGATTGTTATTTTGCTTTTCAACTGTTTTCAATAACTGTTATAACAGTTTACTTCTCAGGATGAAAAGCCAAAATTAGATTTTGGAGGGAAAAAGTTTGGATAAAATATCCAGATTCAGCAATGGAAAAAAGCCAATTCATTCCTAATATATCCCAGAGTTCAGACATGAAATCCTGGCTTATCTACCATGAACTATATAATATTATTGGTTCCATTCACCTAAAAAAAAAAAAAAAGCGTGGACTGAAAGACTACTATGAACAAAAATAAAACTACTGTCAGCAGTATAACACTATTAATAACTGTGCTTTGACTGTAGGGAAGCCAATCTTATGAGGCGAACCTTAGATTTTCATTGTTTATTAGCCCATAGATTTGATTCTGAAGTGATCGTGATCTAAGAGGTTCACATCTGTTTGTTACACTATATTTGCAGAGGCCGGGAATTTTAAACATTTATTCTTGACTTCCTGGCAGCCAGAGCACTTGCTTCAATTTCCGCAGGGCATATTTTCTAAAGTATGTACTGCTTTTGTGTAGGGAATAGATGTACATTGTTATGTGTTGTGCACCCACATGCCTATTTTGTGTTATGTGATTGTAGCAGGAAGCTCCAATTTGTGGCCAGTTCCTTTTAATGTGCACAGGGCTTTGCTCGGAAGCTATTTCCATGTAAGAAATACACAGCTGAAGTAGCATAAGCTCGTAGACTGTTGCAATCTGGGAAAAGAAAAAAAAAAAAGGAGTATTTTAGTTATTTAAATAATTCCATCTTTAAAGCAAAAGGATTTTTCAAATTCCATGCTTCTGATGGACTCTGAATTAAATACTTCCTGTAGGTAACTACAATTCATCATAGCTTGCTGGTCGATCTTTAAAGCAAATCTGATCTATAAAAATCAGCTACATTTTTACTCCCTTTGTGATCATCCTTGTTATATTGTATCTGTTTAAAAGAAAAAAAGCCCTGGTCAGGCAAACAAAGATTCATTTTATCAACTACAAAGTAAAATTCTCCTCCAATTTGTTCAAGTGTTTATTAATATGAAAATCAAGTAATAATCAAATATTTGGTGGCTTCATCAAACATGGATACCTTTATAACAGCATCTTAATGATTGTGTTTCTGGACAGCTATTAACATTTCCTTCACAATTAAATGAGATTTTTGTGGCCATTTATTTAGTACCGCCTTTTAAAAAGACTGAATGATGCTGCCATCTACTGGAACGTTCTACTGAAAATTTATATTCAAAGATTAAAAATACATGGCATGAGTACATTCTTTTATATCATACTATGTATGTGTTTAAATAAGACCATAATATAAAATACTGAGTCTCAAAAAAAGGATTGGTCCCAAAATCTCATTGAAGGTAATGTTCAAAGCAAAGTGAAAAGATTCCTTTTCAGATGAAATATCTGAGGAATGTCAAAGAGGGACTAAAGGGTTTTGTACTTTGAGGTGAAATTGGAGATTCCTTTTCAAGCAAAATGCCTGTCTGAACTCTGAAGGAAGCAATAAATGTTTATAGTTCAATCCCATGTATGTCTACTCTAAAATAAGTCCCACGGAGTTCAATAGGACTTGCTCACGGGCCATTATGTTTAGATTTGATGACTACTGACAATACTCTGAGGGATTTTGGATATTACTACCTGGAACAAGGGGTGAAAATTACATTGGAAATAAATACAAACATTATCTGTGAAAAGTATGCGTCTTTCAGCACATGGTGATATTCTCAGTTTGCATAATATACCCTTGTTGATCTCATCAAGAACATTTATAGGGTAAATGTAGCAGGCAAAATCAGATTTTTTTTTTTCTTTAACTGGGCTGCTTAACTGAATAAAGCTCACATTTCTATGTCAATTGAGAATTGATTTTGAATGAATCAAATCAGCCAACATGCCCACTGTTGCCATATTTTCATGATAATTTAGAAATTTCTCTGGGGAATGATAACACAAAGGAGATATTCTCTCATCCCATGTGTCTTTTTAGAGAAGAAAGGAGAGATGAAAAAAGAATAGAATGAGTTTCAGATATGACAGTAGCCATTAGACCTGGCTGACATAAACATGATGGGGCTTACACTGTTTGCCATAATATCATCTCCTCCTCCTCCTCTTAAATTTATCATTAGGATCATTGGCTGGGCATATACATAATTAAATTATAATAATTTCATGATTTTCCCTTAAAAATACTTTATTCATTTCTGCAGTGAAATGGCAGTTCTTCCCAAGACAGACACATATGGCTATTTATTGTTGTTAGAGTTGAAAGCTTCTGTAGGTCCACTGGATCCAAAGCCTAAAATTGCCTTGGTGAACTGCACTGAGCAACAGTAAACCTTTATGTAAAATATGTGGGAGATTCTTTTTCCCAGACAAAAATATAGCACTTTACCAAAAAGAATTTCACCTCAGCTGCTTCTATCTTGCATAGAAATAACTAACTCTTCATGTAATGTACATATAATGTACATATATTACAGCATATAATGTACATGGATTTACAGCAGTATTTATTTAGAATAAAGCATAATAACTTAAAACAATTTCATGCATTCATGTAGAACTTCCTATTATTTAAAAAAATCATCCAATCTCTTTGGTTTCTCCTTGACATGACTATAGCTGATCATTTTTGCTGGCCTTGGAAAACCTCACATTTTAACTAGTCTGTCATGGGTCCTAATACTTCTCATAAACAATAGTCTCTGTTTAATTTTCTATCTTCACATCAAATATTTTTCTACAGCAAGCATTCTATTTTTTTCATGCTCATTTTTCATTTCCAGATAAGGTTCACTAGAAATTATAAGAGAAGAAAATTGTTCATAAATACTAGCTGTTTTCAAAGCAGGTTTAACAACAAGCTGTTCAATAGACAGTACAAAATTGGTAGATTGGAAAGAGAATCTAGAAAGATAGATATTGAAATGTAGCCATAACAAAGGAACACACACATGTACTAAAACATAGCTTTTGAAAGCTAAATTGGAAATTCAATTAAGAGATTAGAGCAATAAAATTTCTTATACTTCTGTAGGGATAGAAATAAGGTAGCACTTATTGAAGAAGTAAAGATTACACAACCTAGTCTGCATCATCTTAATTGCAAAACTGGATATGGATAGAGGGGGGAGACTATGGCATGTCTGGCGTAAGAAACTGCAATACCAAATCTCCTTTAAGATAGAATAGGAAGACTGCCTTATAATAGGACTACAAGACAGGAATATTCAAGAAAAGGAAAAAAAGACATAATAGACAAAATACAAATAGAAATTAACATGTCAGAAATATGCTGGAAAGCCTTCACAGAATATTTAAATGGCACAGAAGTAAATGAAGATAATCTGAAATATAAAGAATCATTTTGTTTAATTTATATCAATTAAGAAAAATTGTATTTATTAATAATCAGATTAAAATTATTTGAGAGGCATCATATAAAATAGCAAAATAAATACAAAATAAAAAATAAACAAAAACTATGTCAGTGTTTTCTAGTCCCTGTTTATAGTTTGTAATTTTGTGCAACTGTCAGCCCGAAAAGGTAGAACAGACTAAGAAACCAATGCTGTATAGATCAGGACTACTTTTATTGTAACAGTTATAGTATCAGAATCTTGCAAGTCTGAATGTGCTTTCTCCTCCACTTTATCTTCGTGTGAACTAGGGAGAGGTTTGTCTGAAATGTTTTCTCAAGTTATTTTCTTGGCATGGACTCAAGTCCAATTTATCTGACCATTGCTTCCTGTCCTTTAAGGCCATTCCTCCTGAGCTCTACAGTAATGGACCAATGTAGAGAAATATGGAGATATCCTTGAAGAAGATATGCAGCAACTGTTAAGAAAACATGAATTTAGCCCAGAAAAATGGGAAGGGCTAAAAGAGAAACTCAAGACAGCCTTGCACTGACTTTCTTTGGTATAAAAGAGAAACCTGCATCTGTGCCTAAAAACTGAAAGAATGCTGTTATTGTTATTCTACACAAAAGGAAATGTAACAAGAATGAATACAATGGGGAGGGGGGCATTTGTGTGTCTCGGAGATGTTTGGCAGAATGCTGATTAAAAGAGAAGAGGAGACAATAAGCAAAATTTGGGATGTGTAGTGCCGCTTTATAGTGAGTAGGGTGCGTGTAGCCAGATTTCCGCTGTTCAGGAAATCACTCAAAAAGTATGAAAGTGAGAAAAAAAGTTCCCCATATATTTGTTGAGTTAGAAAAAGCATACGGTACAGTAAATAAGCCTGAATTATGAAATGTTTACATGAATATGAAAATAAAGGTTGGCCGCTGAATTACAAAGTAGATTATGAAAGTATAGCATGCATGAGAATAAAGAGAATGTTTAGCAAATGGTCAACTTTCAGCAAGGAGTAAGACAAGGCTGTTTGATGTTTTTTTGGTTTTTAATGCATTTATGGATAAATGCATAAGGAATGCTTATGTTGACATAGATGTGATGGCTGGGGACATAAAAAGTGCACGTAGTTCTGTATGCAATGATGTTTTGTTGCTGGCTGATTATATAGAGAATATAATTGAGGGCTGAATTGCCAACAAATATGTGAAAAGTGAACATGTCAAGAGGAAGGGAAGACTATGGAAATTATGGTTGGATGGAGTTGATGAGATCCTCAAAAAGAGAGAGTTGAGAAGCTTAAAGAAAAGGCTGTTATGGAGCAATATATGGGCATGGTGAAAACAAGGATGATTTGCAAGGATAGAAAGGAATGAAGAAGTATCATAGATGATGTTTATATAGTTTTACCTATGTTTCTTATGCTTCTAATGCATTTGGCTTACTAATTCATACTCCTTTTCTGTCCTGTGCATAAAGTTGCTTACCCCAAAAGGGAACAGCATGATGGATATACATGTATGGAAATATATGACCTTACATAAAAAGCCATTACTTTATAATTACTACCAACTGTATATAAAAGTATGAAAAAATAAAAGTGCAAAAGTGCATTATTTTAAAGGAAATTAACAAAATTCCAGAAAATTAACAAATTAACCAGAAAAAATTGACTACAAGGAATGGTAAAAACAGCAAAGCTGACATCTGGTTCAGAAGTTGAACAAAAAGTATATACATACAGTATATTTAAAAGAAGAAGTGTTGATTTATTTGCATGCCACTACAAGTGGTGAGAATGATCCATAATCAGATCTCTACTAGTAGATCTACTCCATCAGACCTGCTCTTTATGTTTTCCGTGCTGTTTTGTTTTCCTGCTGAAAATCAAGTGGGAAATAGTTCAGTGGTTTACCATCATATTTCTAAATATGATCTTGGGGATTCAGAGGCCACAAATAAAGGGCCTCAGGGCCACAGACAGTCAATAGAGTGTGCATTGTCCATCCCTACCTTAAGAATAGTATCCAGGAAATGTCTGGGAAGCAGAAATTAGTCACATAGCTAAACACTGGGTGGAACAAAGCCTGCTGTAAACTATTCAGTAGATTTCATATGATAAATAATTGTTTGTTAACCATTTGATCTCAACTACTGTTTCTTGACCTAGAGAAAATATTTCAAAAGATATCACATGTATAGAAGTGCTGAATGCCAAAAATGCCTTAGGGAAAGAGTAGGCATGAATTTCTGATGATAAAGATAATCCTCTCTTAAAAAGCCACTGGGGCTATCAAATGGAATATATATGATTTACTGAAAAATGAAATTACGAGCAGAGGTTGAAAGTTAAAATCCATGTTTTTCTCTGATGAACAGCAATGATGTAATACACTAAGTAATTTTATTGTTTATCTAGCAGCTAATGGTCTTTTAAGTGTGAAATAATACCAAGCCAGGATATAACCTCTGTTATTTTTCCTGACTCAGCATGCTCCATCCTACCCTTTTTAATTAATCTTTATAAATATTACCTTCCTTTCCTAGCATTATTTCCCCACCATCACCAACACACAGATTTTTTTGCCAAAGTCTGCAACAAGGAATAATGATTTGGTTCTTTGTTGTAGCTTCCTCCTGGCTCTAAGGGCTTGGACTGGGGCTGGCAAGACAGCTACAAAAGATTCTCTGCCAGACAGAACCATTAATGTATACTTGGAACAGATTCTCCAGTACTCAAGGCTATGAAAAAAATGGCTGAGAATCCATTGACTCAAAAAGATGCTAGGAAAAGGCCTACAATTTAAACCTTGGCAAGTATCTAAGGCTTCATTCCTGTGTTCTGCAATAAGCAGATTTTCTCTATGTCTTCTTTCTTGTCTGCAATAAAACAAGTAGTATCTCAAATCTGTGAAGTATGGTTGACTTTTGGAGAATTGATATTAACTGCAGTGCCTGGTGTGAAGTCTGGCAGGGCTTCCAGATGACGCAAGAGAAATATTATGCTTAGAAAAATACATTCAGCTTCACATGGTCCTTATGAGAAGACTGTGAACAAAATGTGAGCAACATTTCAATATATGAAGCAGGCAGAAGGCTAAGCTTGAATAATATTTCACTTTCCAAAACTGCAATCCCTGTGGACAAACTATTACTTCATCATAGAATCTTAAGATTTTATATATATTATATTTTAAAAAGCGGGGGGGGGTTGACCCTAAAAATAAACAGTATCCATTTCCTTATCTGTAACCATTACAGAAACATAAATAGAGTTCGGAGCATTATGGGCTTAGAAAAGAAACAATACCTAAGAAGAAAAATTGGCAGGAAACTTTGGGCAAGTGATACTTGGCTTGGCTAATATAAATTTGGTTGGTGATACAAATTTGGAAAACAAGAACAATATTGTAACAAGTAACCAATCCTTAGCACTGTGTGCGTCAATTCATAATTAGAAACTGAAACCCAAACAAAAATCTCAACTGAGCATCACAAGAATATGACATGGTATATAAAACAGACAACCACTATAAAGAAGAAAACTGCTTCTTTACAAAGGAAATGGCAGGAACATCCCACTCTCTGCCGAAATCCAGAATGGAATCACACAGGGGGATGTTAAATTTTCATTTTTTCTTTTTTAAAAAAGTAGCCATTAATGCATGAGTTATGTAATGTGTAGCTTGGTCCCAGCTCTCTATAATACCATTCTCTGCATCCCATATGGATATACAGGGCAAAATAATAATTAAAAGAGAAGATCTCATCATGCCTATGGCATTACATCTAAATTGTGAAAAGAGCACTCCACAGAAAATGAAAGGACACATACAAAAAATGGTGGAGGTCTTTAAATGGCAGTACAAAATTAAAATATGTTGATGACTGAATTAGTAGAAGCAAAGAAATGCCTTACATCTCTCCTAGCAATTGCCTGGGTTTTCCATTCCTGTCCATGACACACATGGAGAAATATATATACAAAGAATTAAAGCAGAATCAACTAGAAACATAATTAATTACACATAGGAAAGCAGCTAATGAAACTAATCAAAGTACACAGCGTGTTAATGAAAGTTAGCAGCTGGGACCAAATTATTGCATTAGGCATAGCCAGAGAGCAACTGAAAATACATTCTATCGAGAGCTAATAGCTTATGGCATTGTTCTATATACAGTTACGAAGGAATCACTGAGGCAAAGCTCCAGCAGTCCTGCCTGCAATAAGTATAGTTAACATGTTTAATTGCACTCATGCTACTTGGCTACATTAGCAACCAGTGAATTTTCCCCCAATTATTTTTATATGGCATTGAATAATTTAATTTTAAAGTTAAATACAGAGGTAATTGTATGCATGCTTCAAATGTTTGCTGCTTAAAAGTCAACATTTGCTAACAATTAGCACAACAGGCTACAGCTGTGTTTTCTTCTTCATTTGGAAATGCTGAAATATTTCAATTTATGTATTATATTTAATCATCAACCTCTTTTTTCTGAGTTATCTCTCAAAATTAACACTAAAAGAAACAGATACAAGGTTAGTTAGAAGATGATTTAGATTTTTATCTGAAACATTTAAATGACACATCAAAATTAGGTTTATGATCACTTTCCATATTTTACATTACCTTCTTAACCATCATACTCTGCAATAGGCACTGCAGTGCCAGAACTGCCAATGAGAGGTAATGTATATAATTCTTTCATGCAGGGTTCCTTCGTGGCTTTAAGTTTTGCCTTGGATTGCTCAAATCTCTCCCTTGCCATTACACGCGTCACATATTTCCTAAATGTTTTCTCATGCATGTTTTGTCTTTGTAACATGTGTTGCCTGTGGGAAAAATGGAAAAGAACTCATAATTTTCACCAGTTCTAACTCAGACATTGAAAACATGACCATGTGTTCCACATGAATCCCTCCCTTCCATTGTTGTCTTTATCAGGCTTGGTAAATTCAGTATGTTCATTTTTCAATTTTAATTAATCAATTAAACAATGTCACACATTTTTAATGACACAAATAGAAGCTATAAGACCTTTAACCATCCT